CCTGCAGTTCCCTCTATTGCACCGGCACCTGCTGCGCGCATGGCCTCCTCTTCCTGTTGCTTCCTCTGCTCTGCCAGCGTTTTCTCGGCCATGCGCGCCTCCGCGAGCACCTCGGACATCTTCTTGGCTGCGCTCGCCGCGGCGCCGAAACCTTGCAGCAGCTCGCCCAGGCGCTCCACGGACATGTCCGCCGCCACCTCTCAGCATTTGCCGCGGCGCTTGCAGCCTGCCTCGCTCGTCTTCGCGCGGCAAGGGCGCCTCGGCAACCAGCGAACGCCGGCTTTCCTCCAGCTCGGCAGCCCTTTCTTGGTGACAGACAGCGCCTGCTGCGCCTCGACCGTCGCCTGCTGAGCGGTTGCCACCTTCGCCTGGAAGACCTGAACAGTGGCATTATGACGATTTGCCTTCTCCTCGAACTTGGAGTGCAGGGAGGGCATATCCCTGAAGCGAATGTCAATCGGACTCGATGCCGCAAGCCTCCTCCGCAGCGCGATCTGCCGCTCAATTGGCTTGGCGCGCGCTTCTCTGCTTTCAGGTGTGCTGATTTTCTTGGTTGCCTCGATCTTCGCCGCGATGTCTGCCAACTTCTTTTGATGTCGGTATCTGGGCCCACGTCGCCGTCGCCCACCTCCATGACCTCTTCTGGCTTCTGGGGGGCTTTGGCAACTTGAGCCTTGAGCTGCGCCAGCTCTTCTTTCACCCGCTTAAGCTCCTGCGCCGTCGCATTGATGGTTGAGCCTGCAGCGCGCTGCGGTTGCAGCGATGGGACCTCTGGGACCTGTGAAAGCTGTGCTCTGTTGCTGCCGGCACTTCCTACCGCGCAAAGCCCGCCCATGTTCCCCCGCCGATCTCCTGAAGTCGACCAACAATGTTTGCAATGCCGCGGTGCCGCCCAAACACGTCCAGGACGGGAATGACGTCATGCGCTTCGGAATATTTTAACGGCCATCATGTCTGCAACCCATTTGGAAGCCGAGGAATGTTTGCAATTCCGGGAATACGTGGAACGTATCATTATCATGGCCCTTTGCACCTCCGACCTTCTTTTGGTCTGATGACTCGCGAGCAACGGTCCGCCTCCAGCTGGCATGGTATTTGGGATGCGAGGTAAGGCTGCAAGGGCCGTGGACGCCCATGTCGAAGCGTTTCGAACGCGACGGGCCATCGAAAGTAGTCGAGGATGGACCGAGGAGGCAGGGGTGCAAGGGTACGTACCCTTTGGAAGACTACCCGTCCTCATCACCGGTTTCGACTCCAGCTGTGGAGAAGTGCCCCGAGCCCGGGGCGGGCTGCCCGAAGGGGCAGTGCGCAGGCGGGGGCCGGCCTTCCCCCGCGCCGCCGCGTCGAGTCCTGCGCGGAGCGCTACGGGCTTGAGTCAGAACGGCTACGGAGGAGGAGAAGAAAGAGGAGGAGGAGGATGAGGAGGGGGAGGAGGAGGAGGAGAAGGAACCCCTCGGAGCCTCTCGAGTTGGGTCCTGCCGTCGGGTCTCGTCCTGGATCTGGATCAGATTCGTAAGTTCACGCTCGTCCAGGTAATTAAAGCTGGCACTAAGGACGCGCTCTTAGCCAACGTTGGCTGGGAGTACCGCAGCCTCAGCTACTCTCGGCCTGATCTGGATGCCCTCGCCAGGGCTTGTTCTGATTTTCGGTCCTCGGGCAAAGCGCTTCAGGCCAGCTTGTTGGCCACGCACGTGGCGGGGGGCCTGGTCCCGCAGGCCGAGCTTTTCCAGGACAGAAAAGTTTTAGATCCCAGGTGCCAAGTGCGCCTCGGGGAGAGGGACACCAGACATCATCGAATATTCTGCTGTGGCGGCCATGCTGGGTTTCGGAGGGGCCTCGGCTTCGACGATATGCAGCGCGAGTGGCAGACCGAGGACCCCGAGGACCCGCTGCTGTCTCGCTGCCTCCAGCAGTCTGTGGTGGCCCACACGCCCAGGATGCGCGGTGTCAGTCCCTGGCGCTGGGTTGTCCCTCCTCGCCACGGCTGGATTTCGGGGAAGATTTGTACTGACGGGTCTGCCTTGGACCCCGAGCTGCCCCTGTTTACGAGGGCTGCGTGGGCGTTTATGGTTGTCGATGACGCTGGAGGCGTCTTAGCATCCGCCCACGGCCCATTGGAGCACGGGCTGCACTCTATATATGGCGCCGAAGTGTTCGCAATGCTGATGTGTCTTCGGCTCTCGGGCCCAGACGATTGTCTTGTTGGTTCGGATTGCGAGGCTTTGTTGAACGTCTGGGCCCAAGGGACAGATTTTGACACCGCTTCTATCCCTTATGGCAAGTTCTGGAACGAGATTTGTTTTCGGCGCAAGGATCGAGGGGCCGAAAGCTTCCATGTTTTCAAGATTCCAGCTCATAAGAGCTGGCTTGCTGCCTCTCACCAAGGTGTTCCCTTTTGGGCTTGGAAGGGGAACAGGGTGGCGGATCGCACGGCTAAGGACGCCGCTGCGGAGATCCCGCACCCCGAGGCTCTCTTGCAGCAGTACAGGAAGCAGCGCGACAAGATTGAATCCCTGGCAAAGTTCACGGGTCTGGTTTTGGGAAGTGTTTGCAAGCCGACAATTCGGGATGCTACCAAAGCGGTCGGTCGCAAGGGTAAGTTGAAGCCGTCTGGCCTTGTCCTAGTCCCTGAGCCTAATGGCCACATTATCCTGAGATGGGGTAAAGGCTATGTGTGTGGACGATGCATGGACACGGGACGGTCTTACTCTTCCTTGGCAAGTTACAGGTGTCAGGGGTGGCCCAGAGTAGCTCGTATGGCACATCCCTCCCACAAGCTGTGGGCGGGAGATCCCAGTGCCCCGATCCCCATCGTCTGGTGTTCGGTCTGCGGTGCGTTCGCGAGGCAGCGTATGCACTTGTTATCAGGCCGCTGCGGCGGGCGGCCTCGTAACGATGATGCTGCGAGGTCTCTGTTTCTTCTGAGAGAAGGCCGCGATCCGAGTGCCAGACGACACTTGTTCGGTCGTAGCACGCTGCTGAAAGGTCGGCAGGCATTGTGGCATGACCGCCCCCCTCCCCCCCTCTGCTGTAGGTTCTGCTTTCTCTGGATTGCGGATCCTGCTGCGCAAACTGGAAACTGGAAACAGGAGGAGGAGGAGAAAGAGGAGGTGAAGGAGGAGGGGGAGAAAGAGGAGGAGGAGGAGGAAGAGGAGAAAGAGGAGGAGGAGGAGAAAGAGGAGGAGGAGGAGGAGGAGGAGGATAAAGAGGAGGAGGAGGAGGAGATGGCCTCCCTGGAAGACAGGAATGCGTCCATAAGGCGGGGTGTCTCCTCATAACGCCGGCGTTCCTGCTCGCCTTGCCTTCCCCCCCCCCTTTGAACATGCCGCTGGAATCCTCCCGACGGGACACGCCTGATCTCGGCACGAAGGCTAGTCAGGAACCCTGGTGGCAATGGGCCCGTGTCCCCCCCTCCAGAGGCTTATGCTTTGAGCAGGGACCGGCAATCCTGGCATTCCTGTAGCCCTGCCAGGGCATGTTCCCAGCACCCATGAAGTTTCAGACAGCAAAAACAATGTTCTTGGAACATGAGCCCTGTGCGTTTAAACAAGGCAGTCTCAGCCAGACATGTTCTCAGACCATTGCGTGCAGACCACGAGGGGTCTTGGACCAGTCGTGGGTGGGCCTACTAAGCAAGCCGAGACGCTTCGCCACTGCTCGACTCCCGGGACTGGGCCCCCACCGTGCCGAGCCGCTCCCTGACGGTCCCAGGGCCGGGGAGGGGCTCGGGAAGCCCGAGCACGGCGGCGAGAGGCCTCCAGGACCCCTCCCCTCCAGGACACACTGCTCCTCCAGGGCGACCCCGAAGCCGACCCCAACAACAACCACGACGACGACGACAGCAACAACGACAACGACGATGACGACGACGACGACGACGGCAACAGCAACAGCAACAACAATAGCAACAACATCAGCAACAGCAACAACACCACCACGAACAACAGCAACAACAACAGCAACAGCAACAACAGCAACAGCAACAACAACAACACCACCAACACCAACAACAACAACAACAACAACAACACCAACAACAACAACAGCAACAGCAACAACAACAACAACAACAAAAACAAGAACAGCATTAGCAACAACAGCGACGATGACGATGACGACGACAACGAAAACGACGAGGGCGACGGCAACAGCTACCTCTCCGGGGGTGCGGCCTCTGGCCGGACCTTCGAGGCGGACCCAGCCGTGGCGACGCGGGCGCCCCGCGTGGCCCAGGGGGGCGGGAAGACCGCCCAGATGCCCGACCTCGAACGTGCAACGCGGACTCGGCCGTGGTGACGAGGGCGCCCCACGAGGCCCAGAGAAGGCGGGGAAAGGACATGAAACAACTTTGAACCTCGCACCTTCCTGTGCCCAGACAGTCGATTCCCTGCTTACCCATTTTCCATAGTCCCGACCCTTCTTTCCCCTGGGGCCGGTTTTTCGTCCCCCGTCTTTTCTGGACGGCCCCGGGCCCAGCGAAGGCCACAGGTAGAGGAAGACAAAACACTATAAACATGAAATGTCTGGCTCTCCGCTCCGCGAGGAGTTCTGGGATCTGTGCTGGAACCCCCCCCCCCCCCGCGCGCGCGAGGAGCGCGCCAGGGGCGGCGCCGGAGGCGCCGCCAGGGGGCGCTCAGCGCAGATCCAAGAAATCCCCGCGGAGCGCTGAAAGTTTGTGTTCATAGCGTGCTTTCTTCTTCCAGCGGATGCCGAAAGCTGCGAGGAGCCTCCGCCTTCCTTTCTTTTGCCTGTCTGGTGGCCGACCCGGCTCGTGTTATGTCGGGCCTGTCCCCCTACAGGGGTATTTTCGACGAGAAATAAAAAATAAAACAACAAGAATCAACAAATAATCCAAAAATAGTCTGGGGACTATTTTATCAGTATGTTTTAACCTTCTTGGGGCATTTTTGGGGTATTTTTAATTTTTCGTCCAAAATCCCCCTGTAGGTGGACAGGCCCGACTTAAGGCTCGTGGCGCGCTTCTGTGTGGCCCCGGCCGCCGGCACAGCGGGCAGGCGAAGTTGACGTCGCCGGCGTGGGTGTCCAGGGCCGACTGCAGGCAGGGCCCGCAGACGCAGTGGAAGCAGGGGAGCAGCTTCACCTCGTGCCTGGGATTGGGTCGGGCCTGCCCCCCTACAGGGGGATTTTGGAGGAAAAATAAAAAATACCCCGAAAATGGTAAGAAGTTGCCCAAACATATTCAAAACATTGTCCCCATACCATGTTTTCACTATTTTTGAACATTCCCCGTGTAGAAGGACAGGCCCGACTCAAGCCTGGGAGGCCCTCGGCGCGCCGGCTTCCGGAGGCAACTCCTAGGCGAACGGCTTCTATAGGTCTTCGTGCGAACGAGGACGGGCTACTGAGCCCGACTGGGTCGCCGATCTGCCAGACGGAGCCGGGTTTCTGGGATTCCCCCGGATTCAAGGAGACCAAGGAGGTTTAAGAAGGAATTGGCTGATCAGGCTGGTTTTGAACAAACAGGCCTCGTGTGCCGTCGTGAGGCCCTCTTAGGCCGCCTTGGGGCCATCCTTAGAGCCTTTTGCTGCCTCGGGGCGATCTTGGGGGCTGACTCGGGGCGATCTTGCTGACTCGGCTCTTGGGAAGGCTGCCTTTCCTTATTATCGTTTTCGACTGCATCCCTCAAATGCCCAAGTCACATCATGCTCATTCGCCTCTTGAGGCCCTCTTGGGCTGGAAGCAGGTGAGCAGCTCTACCTCGCGCCTCGGGCAGTGCCGGGGGGGGGGATCCCAACGAGGGGGGCCACGAGCGCCTGTCCAGAGATCGAGGACCAAGGTCCCCGATCCTCGAGCTCCTCGATCCCCGATCTCCGCGATGTCCCTCCTCCGTGCTTCAAGGAGGAGGGAGCGGAACGACGAGACTCTGGACGCTTTCGGACGTGATCCTCGATCTCTTGATCCCCGATATCCTCGATTTCCCCCCTCCTTGACTAATGGAGCAGGGAGGATCGAAGAGACCGTGGACGTCGTCGCACGCCATTCGGGAACCTGGTTGGCTTCTGCGGGGCCCAAAGGTTAAGTCGGGCGTGTCCCCCTACAGGGGGATTTTCGACGAACAACAAAACATACGCAAAACATACCCCAACATTGACAAACAAATGCTAAAACAATGGTCCCCAGACTTTTTTTTTTTTTACGATTTTTGAATATTCCCCCTGTAGAGGGACAGGCCCGATTTGACTCAAGGAGGAGGGAGGATCGAAGAGACCGTGGACGTCGTCGCACGTCATTGAGGAGCCTGGTTGGCTCCTGCGGGGCCCAAAGGTTCAGTCGGGCGTGTCCCCCTACAGGGGGATTTTCGACGAGAAACCAACAAAATATAGAAAAAAATGCTCCAACATGGCTCAGACATGCACAGAAAAACGTCTTCTGACTTTTTTTTTTTTTTTTTTTTTTTTTTTTTTCTCTATTTTTGATGATCCCCCTGTAGAGGGACAGGCCCGACTTACCACAAGCCCCCACGGGGGTGACCCCCCTTGGTGCTGCCGGGTGCCTCGGAGACCATCGGTGCGACTACTCGTCCGAGTCCCAGGCTTCGAGAGGACCCAGACCCCCTCGGGTCATGAAAAAACGCGACGGGAAGGTTTTCTCGATTTTCGGCCTCCGGGGGCCCCTCAGCGGGCCTCGGGACCGTCCAAGATCGACTCAGGATGGGAAACCGGCCCCGGGGAAGGGGTCGAGAACTCTGGGGGTCGACGCCACAAACAAACCATGACGTCGGGGATTTGGGGACTCACTTGCTCGATGCCCCGCTGTTCCTTCGCTTCGGCCTCCTGGGGCCCGCAACTCGGGCCCTGGGCCCAGCCAGCGCCGGCCCGAGACGAGGAGCTGTGCCCCGGGAAGCAGACTGGAGAGCCCCAGGGCCGCGGATGGAAGCGCTTGCGCAGCGTCGGCTGTCTCGCGTCCCTCCTCCCGGAGTCCTCCCCCCGCCCTGCTCTTTCGCCTCCCAGGTGTTTGGGCCTCCCTCGCTCTTGAGCGGTGGCGCTCATGCCGGTGGCTCCTGCTACGTGTGCATCAGGCCTTGGCAGGACTGCGCGTTTGGTGGGACTTCGCTCGCGGGCAAGATTCATATCCATGTCCAGTGTCTCTTGGACTTTTCTGGAAGCGGCGCCACAAGGCCAAGGCGCACTGGATATGGATAAACATCGAGCCTCTAGGGGACAAATTTATCCATATCCAGTGCGCCTCGGGTTTCTTGGAAAGGGCAGTGGATATAGACAGAAGTATTGCCCGCATTGGTCTAATGATGTGCACCGGGGGGAGCCCACCCCGCCCCATGCCACGAAGTGGAACTGCTGTCACTCCTAAAGAGACACCGCACCGCCCACCCCTGCCTCTCTTTGAGCATTGCGTTTGCACGGATCGTGGGTTCGCCCCAAGCCCTCGTTCGACGACGACGTCCCCCTCCCTGGTTATCGACTGGGCTTTGCCCTGGCTGTTGCCCTCCTCCAAACTGTGTTACTCGGCCAGCCCGTGCGCAGGTGCTCGGAGATGGGGCTTGCAGTGCCGGCAGAGCCGCCGCCGAGGCCGTGAACGCGCTAGCGAGGCGAACCTGACCCTCCTCCCTCCATCCCGTATCATCCTCCCTCGGCTTAGTGTGCGGATGTTCGCGACGGTGCTCCGCCGCCATCTCGTCGTGCGTCCCAGTGCGTCCCAGGTTAGGGTTAGGTCGGGTATGTCCCCCTACAGGCGGATTTTGGACGAGAGAATAAACATAGTCAAAACATATTCAATGATCCAAAATGATCAAAAAATAGTCCCCTGACGATTTGTTGACTACCTTTGGATATTCCTCTTGTAGAGAGACGTGCCCGACGTAAGGTTCGGGGCCGAAGATCATCTTCCTCCCCTTCTCAGCTAGACGGACTGTACGCCTGCACAGTGTTGTCGCCATTCGCATTCACATGTGGAGACATGTGGCGTCATCTGTTTACCCTCAGTGTGCACCAATGCCTGGAAACGGGGTCTGTCGCAGGGATAATGGCATTAAAGGGGCCTGGGGACACACAATTAAATAGACACGAGTCCCAGGATTCCCCATATTTTCCCATATTGCCTGGTTTTCGTCTTCCCCTCCACTTCCTATATTTTCCCATGTTTTCCTTCGGATCGACGACGATTTGTGTCAGTGTTTTTTTGCAAGTCCTGAGGCATCAGGGAGGGAAGGACGCTGCCCTCATAGCTCCATGGTGCCCGTGCAGAGTCTTTCGTCTGACTACTGTTCTGCGAGTTGCGTGCCGGTCTCTGCTCGCAGGCTCCCAGCCGAGTCATCGTCGTAATCCGAAAACCCTTCCTCATTCATCCATTCGCACTCACGCCCATCCCTCGCATCCCCCCATGCTCAATTAAACTTTAACGCGGGGGCTCACACACCGATGAGCCCCTGAACCTGGTCGGTGGGTTGGGCCCGCCGAGGATTTTGCACCGCCGGGCAGGGCGGCTCCGAGACTGCCGAGAAACTGTTTGTGAGAGCGCTGTTGTCCAGCCTTCGTTGGCCTCCGGCGGCGCTGTGCTTCTGGACGGGCCCGCCGGCCGAGTCGAGCCGATCCGCCCTTGTGCTAAGTCGGGCGTGTCCACTTACGGGCGGATTCTGGGCGAAAAATAAAAGATGCCCCCCAAAACATACCCCCTAAAAAATCAAAAAATAGGAGAATCGTTCCCATACGATTTGTTTGACTATTCTTGAACATTCCCCCTGTAGAGGGACAGGCCCGACTTAACCCTTGTGGCCCCCTTCGTGGGCATCGGGCGGCGCTGTGCTTCAGGACCTGCCCGCCGGCGGAGTCGATCCCCTCCGCCCCCTCCTCGCGTCTCGCTCCGCCCCCTCCACGCTCTCCCCTCCGCCCTATCCTCCTCCCTCCTCTGCGATCTCCCCTCCGCCCCCTCCTCGCTTCTCTCTTCTCCCCATCCGCGCTCTCCTCCCTCTCCTCCCCATCCTCGCTTCTCTCTACTCCCCAGCCTCGTTCCTATAGGACTCCCCGTCCGCCTCCTGGTGGGGGGCCGCGGGGATCCAATCAGCGGCGACGAGGTGGGGACAGATACGGGGGCCAGCCCAGGTGCAATATTACTCGTCTCAGAGTTCGTCCAGGTTTGCGGCATTCACGGCTTGCGCTTTTTATACACATATAGCAACGCGTCAGAAGATTGCCGCCGCATTTCTGCGCACTGGGACGGCCAGGCTGCAAGATTGCAGCGCGTCGGCGCACTGCGTTGTGACATGCGAGGTGGAACTGCGCAGTGGATGTTGCAAGAACATGGCTTCATTATCTTCAAGCGCTGTAGGGTATTCACGCCACCGTCTATGTTCCATTTGCGTGCGCAGTGGGGGGGGAGTTGTACATCAGGAACAACTGAACGAAAAGTAAAACCAGAAAGAACGTGAACATGGAGAGGGTGAGGAAGAACCGATAGCTACAAGACAACTTCAGGACAAAGTCGCACGAAAGTTCTAGGCCCAGTTCCAAACCTCGAAGTCCTCTGCCATCGCTTCCGGATGGAGGTCTAAATTTCCATGTGGACAAACGTGTCAAAAAACACCTCAACGAGGTTGAAAATATCGAAGTGAACGTGTCAGATGCAAGATGGGGTCATGCTTCTGGGCTTGCCCCCCCCCCAACCCACACCCACACCCACACCCACACCCACACCCACACCCACACCCACATCCTTGTTCCATATTATTATATACCCCACCTACCTCGCATTCCGGCCGATAGCAGCCCAATCCGGGACCGCCCATCCGGACTGTACAAAATCAATACAAAGTGGCCGCTTTTTTTCTCAACATCGTCCTTCTCGTCGACGATGCGAAAAGCGTGGCAGGAATGGGACGCGGCGCGCATCGCGCGCGGCAGTCAATGTGGGCCCGCCCATCCTGACTGTAAAAAATCAATACAAAGTCTTCGTTTTTTCCTCTCAGCATGGCCTGCCTTGTCGCCGACGGTGCGAAATATGTTGCAGGATTGGGACGCGGCGCACATATGGGACGCGGCGCGCATCGCGCGCGGCCGTCAATCCGGGCCCGCCCATCCTGACTGACAAAAATCAATACACAGTCTCCGCTTTTTCCTTTCAGCATGGCCTGTTTTGTCGCCGACGGTGCGAAATATGTGGCAGGATTGGGACGCGGCGCGCATCGCGCGCGGACGTCCATGCGGGCTGCGGGCCCTCCCATCCTGACTTACAACAAAAAATACAGAGTTGCCGTTTTCTTTTCATCATGGCCTGTCTTGTCGTCGACGATGCGAAATGCGTGGCAGGAATGGGGCGCGGCGCGCATCGCGCGCGGACTTCTGGGGCAACCCCAAGGCCGGAGGGGCCACCTTACTTGTCAGAAACAATGGCATGCTGATTTTCCCTGCCAATTGAGCTGTTCTTGTCGTCCACCCCGGAAAAGTGCATGGCACGAAGTCGGCGCGGCACCCCCCCCTCCCCCCCCGCTCGAAGTGCATGAAAAGGCCTTCTCGCTTGGGCGCCGAGCGAAATTTTCTCAAAGTTGCGCTCCCGCTTTGGCTCGGCGCACGTTTTTAGCTCGCCAATTCATTGGGCGCCGGGGCGTTCCAGGAGGCCCTGGGGTGACGAATGCCTGGGAGGTTTTTGCTTGTTCAGGCTCTTGGAGGGCCTCCTGAGGATCCCAGCGGTTTCTTAGCGCTACGGCCGTCTGGAGGCCACCTTGGGCGTCTTGGAACGATTTTTCGGAAACTCAGGGCTACTACTACTACTACTACTACTACTACTACTACTACTACTACTACTACTACTACTACTACTACTACTACTACTACTACTACTACTACTACTACTACTACTACTACTACTACTACTACTACTACTACTACTACTACTACTACTACTACTACTACTACTACTACTACTACTACTACTACTACTACTACTACTACTACTACTACTACTACTACTACTACTACTACTACTACTACTACTACTACTACTACTACTACTACTACTACTACTACTACTACTACTACTACTACTACTACTACTACTACTACTACTACTACTACTACTACTACTACTACTACTACTACTACTACTACTACTACTACTACTACTACTACTACTACTACTACTACTACTACTACTACTACTACTACTACTACTACTACTACTACTACTACTGACTACTACTACTACTACTACTACTACTACTACTACTACTACTACTACTACTACTACTACTACTACTACTACTACTACTACTACTACTACTACTACTACTACTACTACTACTACTACTACTACTACTACTACTACTACTACTACTACTACTACTACTACTACTACTACTACTACTACGACTACTACTACTACTACTACTACTACTACTACTACTACGACTACTACTACTACTACTACTACTACTACTACTACTACTACTACTACTACTACTACTACTACGACTACTACGACTACTACGACTACTACGACTACTACTACTACTACTACTACTTCTACTACTACTACTACTACTACTACTACTACTACTACTACTACTACTACTACTACTACTACTACTACTACTACCTACCTACTACCACTGCGCGCCAGCACCCAATTGCGCCAGCATTGTTTCTTATGTTGAAGGCGGAACGTGCCCGTTGTTCTTTTCAACATGGCCAGTCTTGTCGTCGACGATGTGAAATGCGTGGCGGGAATGGGACGCGGCGCACATCCCGCGCGGACGTCAAGGTGTCCTGGGGTATCCTCCACTCGCACTGAAATGCCCGCGCAGCCCCCAGTTGTGGCATCACTGTTTCTTTTGTTGTGGGAGGGCGGGTGGGAATGGGCATGCCATGCTTGACTCGCTCGAGCTGGCTAGCTTGACCCCCCCGCACACACACACACACACACACACACACACACACACGCACACGCACACACACACACCCACACAGAGAGAGAGAGAGAGATACCGCCCCTGCAGCGCTCGCAGCGCTCGTCGGGCTCCCGCCCGAAGCCCAGGAGGGCGCCGTCGGAAACGCTGGCTCCCCCCACCGCGAAGAGCGGGCCGAATTTTGGCCAGCGCAGCTCGGGCTGGCCTCCAGTGCCGACCAAATTGGCCCAGCACGTGCCGCGCCATCCAGGGGACCAACGCCCGGAAGCGCTCGTCTTGTCAGCAGCGCTGCCGGGCGCAAGCGCATCTGGAAGCGGGCGGGGCGCGCGCAACTACAGAAACAGAGTGGAAAAGAGAGAGGGTGGCCGCGGAGGCACGTCAATCAAATGAGGATGAGACGAGACGTTGCTCTCTTTCTGACGCTGCTGTCCGGAGGCTGGGCCAGGGCGTACGGGTGAGCGCATGGCTTGCAGCGATCGCACCCTAGGGTGGCCGCGGAGGTAGGAGGGTGAACGAGGCCCGAACGCAGAAGCCCCGGCCCCACAGGGGCCGAGGCCCAGGAGCGGCCCGAGTTGGCCCCACAGCAAGACCCGTGACCATGCCGACAAGCAGACTATCTTGGCAG